GAAGATGTACAAGGCCGGCAGGGTGCTTTCTTCGGCACCCTCGACACTTCTTCTCACTGTCGGCTTGGCCTCACAGACGCGAAGGCTGCACATTTCAAGGTCCAAACAATCAGCTCGCATCACGCTCCACGGAGTACAGAGCGGGGAAGTGCGCATTCAGGAATTCTTGTCTGGCAAGCTCGGGAAGGCGAATGCCAAGCCCGCCTTGGATGAAGACGCTCAAATTGTGGCCGTGGAATGCAGTCTTGATGGTCAGGGCCAGAAGCTGTTGTGCACAACTTCGACGCAAAACACTTATACCTTTGAGATTCCATGTACTGGAGCCCCACAGGATCAGCCAGCGAAACGGGTTGAGGCATCTGCGGGGAAGCAAATCAGCCATCTGACGTTCAAAGACTGGAAGCTTGAATCGGCCAAGGTCTGCGAACAAGAGGTAAGTCTGCAAGAGGCCACATCTCTGGTAAGCGAAATTGAGGAGAGAGTACAGGGGAAAATCTCAGAGCTTAAGTCGGAGGCTGAGCAGGAAGACGATGCATCTTCAGGGGAAGCCCGGGAAGATGAGCTTCGTGACCTGCAGCTTCGCATGCAAAAGGCGCACCACTGCCTTACCGAAGGTTTGCAGGAGCGCGCTGTGGAGGCAAGACTCCTGTTGCTGGCTTTCCTTGGCAGTGAGAACCTCTTCTGATTACTTCTGCTGGTTCTGAAGACTAGGCAAACGAAACCAAGTATAGAGGGCTCGCTATAATAAGTGCATGAGAAGAAGCTACTGGTACCTGCTTAAGAAGATTCAACTTCTGGGACTCAACCCAGGAATGTCCTCTTCCTGGGTCCCCCGGGCACTGCGAAGAGCCTCCTGGCTCGGCGCATGGCACGCGTTTGTGGTGGCGAGTACTTTGAGCGTCTCTTGACGCGCTTCTCTGCCCACCGTCTTTGTTGGAAGAAGACTTTCCTAAACACTGACTAAGCCCCGCAGCATGAAGATCGGCGTCGGTGGCATCATTGAAACTGCATCGATTGATCTGTTGATGCTCGAGGATAGCTAGAGTCTTACTTAATCCTGCACGAAAAGTACAGCTGTCACCTGCTGTCACTGCATGATCAAGTCTATGGTGCATTACGCATTACAGCAAAGCGTTGCAATAAATGGTAGTAGTAACACAAAATAGCTACAAGTTGGCGAGCCCAGCTGAGGTCCCCGAGGAAGTTTTTGGACCGTTGTCCTTGAAAGCCTTGGAGAATGACAAGCTGAAGCGCAACGTGGAAGGCTTTCTGCCCCATGCGGATGTGGCCTTCCTCGACGAGGCGGCTCTTATGTTGTTGCCATGTGCGCATTTACGATAACATTATCGTTGAACATTGCTATGGCTTGTCTCACACTCCCGCGACTATTCTTCCTACTCCCCTACTGCTACTCACAGTCCTACTCCTACTCTACTTCTGCTACTACTACTGCTACTACTTCTGCTGCTACTACTACTACTACTACTACTACTACTACTACTGCTACTCCTACTGCTACTGCTACTGCTACTGCTACTGCTACTGCTACTGCTACTGCTACTACTCCTCCTACTCCTACTCCTACTCCTACTCCTACTCCTACTCCTACTCCTACTCCTACTCCTACTACTACTACTACCGTTTCTGCTGCTGAATCTGCGACTGCCACTGCTACTCCTCTTACTACTGCGACCACCACCACCACCACCACCACCACCACCACTACTGCGGCTGCTGCTGCTGATGCTGCTTGCACTGCTGCTGCTACTACAATACTACTACTACTACGACGACGACGACGACTACTACGACGACTACTACTACTACTACTACGAATACTAATTCTAACACAAATGCTACTGCTGGTTCTCACGCTGATATCTTTTGTTGTTACTAGGTTGAGCATTACGAGTAGAAGTTCGACGACGGGTAGTTCTAGTGGTGCGGCTATTGGGATTGCTTCGCAGTTGCTTGTGCAATGCCAAGCCTTTATCTCCTGCAAGCAGTTCGGTCCTTTTCGTTTCACTGTCAGGTGTTCAAGGCGAACTCTGCGATCTTGAACTGCCTGCTGACTTTGTTGAATGAGCGGGTTTTCGACAATGGGGACACGCGAATCGAGGTGCCGCTGAAGTGTGCCTGGATGCTGGAGCAGTCTGTCTGGTTTTTGTTCATGTACGAAGAAGGGTTTTCACACTGTGCCAAGATACTAGCAATTCCAAACTGTGGCGACCTAGGTGTTGTTGCTGCCTCCAACGAGCTGTTTGAGGGAGATGAGCTGGCAGCTTTGCACGACCGCTTCCTCCTGAGCCTCTGCTCATGCTTGGCAGGGAGTTGAGTAAGGATTCCGTGCAATTCCCATAATGATGCCTGCAGACTGCTTTCAAATCCACCCAGGAGACACATGGTCTCTCCTATGACGCGTGGAGCAGCAGCTGCCTTCCTCCAGGACTTGCTGGCACGTCCGTCAGCGCCACTGGGGCGAGGAAAGAAGCCAAACAGG